AAAAGTGTGCGATCTGACGTGGAATGGCCCATATATATATTTATGAGTTATCAATGTGCAAAAGCTCCTTATTTTTAATAAATTGATATCAATTAAAATTTTGCTGCACAAAAAACTTATCAAGTAGAGAAAGAAGTTTGGAAATGATGCAGCAATGTATGTAATCTGTCTAGCGATCAACACTTAGGTTAGAAATTTCCACTTTAAACTCTGGAGCATCTTTCGCTGAGTTTCACCTGCGAAATAAAAAGGAAAGTAGAACATCAAATACTCACAAATCCTCACTTAATGACCAGGAATGCCTCAAAAAGTACTATTTTTGAAAGGCTTTTGAAAGGTAGACTTCGACGGTATTTATAGGCTTTAAAAATCAGTTGACTATTGAAACACTTGTTAAGTAGACGAGAGCGTTGTTTTTGGCAAAAAGTAACATGGGTCTGGTGTGGTTTGGGACACCGAAGAGATTCGGTTGCCCCAGTGGGTTACAGTGAAGCAGCCCTACCAGCGGCTATTACTTCATGTGGAAGAGAATCATCAACCTGCATTCTCCAAAGTCCAAAGGCCTGTTAGATGAAGCAGAACAAGTCATTATATCAGCGTAGCCTGAGAAAAAGGAATATTATTACTGGCACAGAGTTCAAAATGTGAAAACGTGATTTAAAAATCTTTTTAAAAATCCAAAGACGGTATCTAGCAGTATCCTTTGCAAACTCTATAACTCGACAATGGTGTATCATTTGTAAACAACGCTGTTTGTAAATAGAAAAATATCAAAAATAAAAATAAAAAATAAAAAAAATGCTTTGCGGATAAAAAACCTAATTTCTGCACTGAATGAAAACCATGAATTTATCATATGCTACAATAACCTTTATCATTATAAACAGTAAATTCTCAAAAACGCTGAATATAACACTAAAACAAATAATGATGCACACTTCAAAGGCAAAATAAAGTTAATGACCCCACTGCAGGTAACATGCACAATCTAAACAAAATTTTTTATCGCCAACCTTATTTTGCTTCTCAAATACAGGTCTTACCACCCTGCATGTATTATCTGCAGAAGTTTCAGACTTGCCCATTTGGTTTTTGCTAGCTTTCTAACGGTCTTTTGCCAAAATATCGCTGTAATAATTCTGCTAATTTTTGAAGCATCCCGCGTTTCAGTGGATAGTGTTACAGTTAGCACGTAGATTTGCAACCACAATTCTAGAAATCTGAATGGATTTTAAAACCACTCCCATGAACTTCTTCTCCTCAGCAGCTCTCAAATTTCTCGGTCATTTTTGGTTTGCCCAAAAACACTTATATCGCAGTGTTTCAATTTTGTACATAGTACTCAGTAAACGGCATTCAATGAGTTTATGTTTTTTAAATGACTGTCTATTTTTACCAATTTATGAACCTTTCTAACTGCTTCCTAATATAAGGAAGTAGTCAACATTTGAAAAAGTAGTCCTGAGAGAAAAGCTGTGAAAAAAAAAAATGGAGAGAGATGACTACAGATTATGGCATATGCATTACAATTAAAACGAGTTGACAGAAAACAGAAAATAGTGAAAACAAAGATGCAGGACAAGGTGTAGCTGTTGAGATTCCACAGCTTTTGATTTATGCCTATCACAACGAGAAGCAGTTAAAGAGGCTAACAAAAAGATACAAGCAAACATTCCTAAAATATAAACTTGCTTAATGCCATCTACTGAGTTCCGTACAAAACTAAAACGGTGTGATTGAGCAAGTATTTTTCAGCAGACCAGAAGACGGTCACGAAATGTGAGAACTGCTAGTAGATGAACCCTACAAGCAGTGGATTTAAACCCCTTCCTGATTCCTAGAATTGCGGTTAAAACACTCACGCGCTAACTGGTGCACCACTCGCTGACACAATAGGT